GTCCCCCCCTCCAGCCAGTCGCCCGCCCAGCAGCGCCGGTCCCCAGCCCCGCCACCCTGCCCGTCCCCGGCCTCGGCGTCACCGCACCGGCTGCCCGGCGAGAGGATGGAGCTGGGTTACGCCAAACCCTCCAGCCGCCACATCAAAGCCGGCTTCCAGGGTCGTCGCAGCTACTCGGAGGTGAGCAACGTGGCCCTGTACCAGCAGAGCCGCTCGCTCTGGCTCCAGCCCGAAGCCTCGACGCTTCCCAAGCACCGGCCCTACGGCGAGGTGTACCTGGGGGGCACGGGGTCCCCGCTGAGCGCCCGCGAGCCCTTCGAGGAGCACGTGCGCTTCGAGAAGCAATCGTCGGATGAAGAGGAGTGGGCCTTGCCCAGTCCCCCCAGCCCCGAAGCGGGGGCTATCCGCTGCGCCTCCTTCTGCGCCGGCTTCCCCGACGCCGATGCCGTGCACCGGACGGCCGCTGCCTACGCCCGGGCAGAGCACGCTCAGTCCTGGCCCTCGATCAACGTAAGCGGGACCCCGCCGGGGATGCGTTGCGGTGGGTTGGGGGGGGGGAGAAGCAAGGGAACCCCCCCCCCCATGACCACCACCACAGTGCAGGCAGGGCGTGCCTCAGTTTCCCCATTTCTGACCGGCTGCGCGGCATCTGAGTTTGCACCCAGTGGTGGGAGGGTAACGGGGAGGAGGGGGGGGTCCGTGGCCCCCAGGAGAAGGCGGTGGTGGGCTCAACACCGCCTTGTGCCCCCGCAGCTGCTGCTGGAGACGGTGGACTCGGAGGTGCGGAGCTGCCCGCTGTGCCAGCTGGCTTTCCCCATCGGCTACCCGGACGATGCCCTGGTGAAGCACATCGACTCGCACCTGGAGAACAGCAAGATCTGAGCCTTCCCCCGCCTCCCCGATCTTTGGATGCTGCATGAAAACACACCAGGAGCGACACGGCTCCCAAAATACCTCCAAGTCTTCAGTAGCTACAGAAAGACTGAGCCCCCCCCGCCAACCCACCCCAGAGCCCCCCCGGCCCCCCATAAGTGGGTTCCTCTGCTCCCGCCTCGCCGTGTCCCGGCATCCGCCCTGGGTTCGGATGCTCAAATGGGGGCACCGGGATAACGCCGTCCCGGGTGGCGGCTGGAGGGGACCCGTCTGCGCCCTTGGGTGTCATCTGCACCCTTGGGTGTCGCTGCTTGATCTCAGGGAGGATTCGAGGGGCCGGGTCCTGGATCTGGCCCCCAGGAAGCAGGTGAAGGGAAGGGGCTGCCCCTTCCCCGGCTCCTTGGGTCAGAGTTGGGTTTGGGGGGGGTTGGAGGGGGGGCCAGCTGCTTATTCTCGGTCCCCTTCACCTCATCCCACCGGTTCAAGCATCTTTCCACTCTTTTATGTTAAAAGCATCCCCCCCTCCAATTTCTACCCCCCCTCCCCACAAAGATGCTGCTGAGAAATGAACCCCGAGGTGCAGCATGGCCCCCCCCCCCTCCATTGCACTGAGCTCCACAA